TCTTTAGAGCTCGTGGTTTAAATACGTATCAATTTCGTCCACATTGTGGTGAAGCCGGTGCTGTTACACATCTTGCTACAGCCTATATGGTTGCAGAAAACATTTCACATGGTTTACTTCTACGCAAAGTACATTATTTGTTTTTTTTTTAAGATTAGTTAAATATGTATTAAATTTAATTTATTTAGTCTCCTGTATTGCAATATTTATTTTATTTATGTCAGATTGGTATTGCTATGTCGCCATTAAGTAATAATTCCTTATTTATTAATTATAATCGTAATCCAATGTTGGAATATTTTGAACGTGGTCTATGTGTATCGTTATCAACAGATGATCCAATGCAATTCCATTTTACTAAGGTTTCATTTTTGTTTTTAGTATTAATATCAAACTCAATATTGAATTATGAGGAAAAGATCGTTTTCTTTTACACAGTAATGAATAGAATTCGATATGTCCATTAGAGAATCAATGCGATATATTAATTGATATAGGACGCTATAAACAAACTGAACAGTTTTTCGTCCATGTCGTCTTCATTGATAATATTACAGTTCTTAAATTCTTGCTAAATAGTAGCCGAATAGAATGTTGTAAAATATGATTAAGATCTAATGATGAGTTGACATTTTAGTTCTTGAATTTCAGAACATTGACTCTAATTTGAGATCATTTGTTGAGTTTGAGTATATATCAAATTGTTTTATAAATCGATATATCAGCAAGACAGAGTTTCCTAATTAAATTGACAAAATCCTAGTCATATTCATTTCTCATCAGAGTTTTATTCTAATGAACAGTTAAAAAAAGAATCAGTTTTTAAACTTGATTTAATTTTCATCAATATATGGTTTTCTAATTTCGATAATTATTTAGGAACCTTTAATGGAAGAATATTCAATTGCTGCACAAGTCTGGAAATTATCATCAGTTGATATGTGTGAATTAGCTCGAAATTCTATTTTAATGAGTGGTTTTTCTCATGAAGTATTAAATTACAAAACACAAAGTTGAGTTTTATTCTCAATCGTTTCTTTTTTTTTTAACTAATCAGGTTAAAATGTATTGGCTTGGACCAGATTATCAAGAATCAGGTGTAGCTGGTAATGATATTCGTCGAACTAATGTTCCAGCTATTCGTATTGCATATCGTTATGAAGCATTATGTGAAGAACTTCGATTACTTGGTAATGCTTATAAAAGTCGGCAAGAGGTAAAACGAGAAACATCTAACAACATGAAATAAAAATCTTTTTTTTTCTTCATAGCGTGAAGAAAAAGATCGACGTTTACGGCAAATGCAAGCAAAAGCACCACCAATAACAAATCTTGAACGTGCTGGTAAGATAATCATTTTTTTTAATTTTTTCAATTAAATAACCTGACAAAAACTAAAGCACCAACAGGAGTACTTCCTCCATCTTTTCAGGTCTGTTTTTCTGTTGTCAAATATATATAACCTCCTCCCCCCCGTGCCTTATGTTGTCACTAATATTGAATCATATTCTTAAAAAAAATTTTATTTTATAGTTTTAAATAATGGTAAATATGAACCGACATCTAGTCTACAAAATAATATGTCATCAACAATAAGTGGCAATAATTCCAATAATGGCTTCAATGAAATAAACAATTCAAATCAAGATGTCTCAATGTTCTAATTGAAAAAATCGTAATGGATTTCCTTTTTTTTTTTTTTTAATTTCTTTTGTTTTTTGTCAAAAAGTAGATGTGCCTAATTTGATTCTGTATTTTTTTTTCTCTATTTAGCAATATAACCATGCTTTTTGTTTTGATTGTTTTATTTTATTTTGAAAGAACTTATTTAGAAATAAACATATAGAAAGAAAACTATTGATTTGTTTGATTATTGAAGATGGATAATCGAAATCGTACAACAAATGTTAAAGGTGCTGCTTTTCATAAACAAGCAAAAGATAATCTTCAATCGATATTAGATAATTTTATGGCAATTATTAATCTTATTCGAGTTGAAGAAACACAACCAAATCAAATAAAAGATCAATTACCAAGATTATTAACAAATACAACAGAAGATTTTGAAATGCGTGTACGAGCTTATAATATGGTAAGAAAGAATTGATTTTGACGTTCTTTCTTTTGTTTTATGATTTATTTAGGTTCGTGCTTTTGAATCATTACTTAAACTTGTTTCGGATTTAAAAGATCAAGCTGTATTGTATGATTTCCGAGCTATTAATGATGCTGTTAGAGCACAACGACAAAGATTTAAAAATCAACAATCAGATTTAGATACGAAATTAATTAGTTTACGTGATCGATTAGCATTAGAAATGGTTAAATTTGAAGATGAATATGCAAATAAATCAGCTTTCAAAACTTTTAAAGATTAACTTTTTCTTTTTGTAAACAATATTCTTGTTAAAATTATCATTAAAATATGTCTTATGTATACAAGAAAAAGAATGTTTTTATCATATCATTGTTTTTTGTTTTTTGAAGAATATCAAAAGGAAAACTAAGAGCAATGTGCGATAGGTTGACTACACGGTATTATCGTCAATAGAGAGCATTCTATTACCACTAACTATCCAGTTGTTTTCCATTGTTTTTTCTTCTTTATGTTTTCAATGGTTAACATATGTTTTCTCTGAACATTCCAATGATTATCTTCTCATCCTGTGATCTTATCAGTTGTTGTTGTTTACCTCTCCTGGTGGCATTGCTCTTTCATCTTCCCGCTCTTGTTATCATTTTCCCCTATTGATATTATCTCTCATCTTTCTGTTATTATTATGTTTTCTTGGTTTTATTAATATAAATAAAACCTTGTTTGATCCCTATCGACATCACCTTATCAATATACCAACACAGTGTAAGCGTCCTTTATTTATTTTACGTGAGATACCTCGTTCCGGTAGCAGACCAGAAGTATATATAACCGTCATCTGACCCAAACTTTAGTGTAGACAAGAGTAATAGACAATTAAATAACCAAGAGTCTCACACACAGCTGTTTGATTTCGTCACAGTAGTAAATTGGAGACATTTGTTCGTAAGAAATTGTGTCGTATTTTATACACCAATTTAAATCATTTTCCTATACAACAAATGCATTGCTTTGACAATAACAAGACTATCAATATACGGTATTCTCTTGATGGATCATCACTTACATTGATTGATAAAATATTAAGTCAAAATTTCAACTAAATAGCAAACAATATCCTAATCATGAATATTAAAATGAACAAAAACGATATACATTTAAGTGTCCCTTCCCTCTCAGAAATAAACCTTTTTATTTGTCATCTGATTTTAATTAGAAATTCACAGAATGTGACTCGACTAGAATAAATTATCGGTAAAATATCTCTACCAAATCTCTAAGATACTCATGAGTTATAATCAACTCATAGATTGCAAGTACCATTTACGTGAAGAAGGTTTTCAAAATAAGGATACGAGCTAACATATCGGGGTGATTTTTACATTGTAGAATATATTTAGGGACAGATCACAATAGAGCTCGATTTTTGAATTTCCTATTGTTTGGTTTTTAAAAAACTTTTTCCGAAAAATTCTCAAATTCATGACCAAAAAATCGCTACTTAAAATCAAAGATCTAAATATTTTATTTCAGTGAAGAGAAATTCAAAAAATCAGGTTCTATTACGACCTAGTCCTAACTGTTCGCTGTGTAATAAACAAAAAATTATCACTTTTATATTCAGTTGTTGTTAAGAAAAGTTTGCCCGCATAAACGGTATACTCGAAAAACCAAACTTTGAGACGAACAATAAATAATGTTTTTCATATTGTAAGTGTCTCTATTCGAACTAAGTCTGCTTATGTTACCTAATATTTTCGCACTATTCGTTAACCTTTATTAGATAGTGTATATGCAGATATATCATATTGCTCTTAGAAGTCCATATCATGCCAAAGTTTTGACCATGCTTATTTATACGTAGATGTGGGTAAGAGTGAAGTCTCTATTTTACCCACATCCATACTCCAGAAAGCTATTTTCAATTATCAAAGCTATCAAGTAAATTTAACACAATTGTATTATAAAATACGTAAAAAATTTTATCATACGAAGGATTCTTACGTAACCAAGTTAGCATTAAATTCAGCCTATTCTTTTCTAGATATATTCTATGATCTGTGTTTATTTTCAAGTTGCTTGTGTTCGATACAGAATTTGATTCTTCATTGAAAGATACCATTTCCAATAGGAGTCATGGAAATCAGAGTAGAGATTTCATCGTAAATACTGAATTTTCGATGCTCTTTCGTCAGATGTATGTATTTGAAAATATGTTTATGGTCCCTGGATACAGAAATTCAATTCCACGAAAAGATACAGATCTCTTCTAAGATAGTTACATATCTACTAAATAAAATTGTTTTGTTTGGATGTACAAGCTGAATAATTTCATTTATTAACCATGTGAATAGTACTGTTATGAGGATACAATTTCTTGACTTTGCAAGTTATTGCATCTGATGTCCTTGCTGATTTTAATTATTGACATATTATTCACATGAAATTTTCAATGGTTCTTTATCCATTTAGATTAGTAAAAAGTGCACTACAACTGAACATTTTATTTTTCCTGAAGATTTGAGAATAAAGTAATAGTATACAGTACTTGTTCGTGACATGCATAATTAGGCATGTGAAACAGAATCAGAAGTTTGAGTGGTGTCATTTATAAATAGTATATTATAGACACTAATATACATGTAGAGTAGAAAAATCACTTCACTCAATATATTTCAATATGATAGAAAAAAGAAACATTATTTAATAATAAAGATGTAAAGCAAAATAAAATACCATAGAATTTCAGCTGGTGTGTATAGATAGTAACGCAGAAAATTAGCAGTTTACATATAAAACAATAGCAATCAGCAGTAAAAACTGTAGAGAGTAAAAAGAAGAATTTAGTTTCAATGCTTATTAAACAATAACAGAGAGTTATCCATGCAAACGAATTTGAGAAAGCATATGATGTTCTTTTGAAGTAGCTGAGTGTGAGGATATATGGTGTTGATGTGGTTCCTCTCTTCATCTTCACCTACACCTACAAAAATGTATATTCAGAGAAACAAAAAAACAAATCGGCCACTTGTCAGAAATGCAAAATCAAAATTCTCAGATATGATTGGATAGAATTTTGAAAAGCTAAGCACAATCAACTATAGTGGCATCTTATTCAATTAATATTGTTCGTCCAAATATATGATGGATGAAAACAAAAAATGAATTTGGTCCTTTACTTTATGTAAATCAAAAATGAATTAAGGAATCTGTTTCATTTTTCTAAGCAATACCAAGAAGACTTATTCATTCAGTTTTGATTTGTATAGCGTGAATAAGGCCTTCATGTATTTTGCAATAAGAAGAAAAAGCTGTTTCTCATTTTCTTTTCTCACTAGAAAATTCTTTTTTAGTATGTCAATAAAGTGTTGAAGCATTTAAAAGTTTACTCTCATTCAACAACGGAATGACTGAGTTTTTATACAATCAAAACAACAATTTGATAACACCTGAAAAAATCTAATGTTCGACCAAGAAATTCTCTTTTAATAATTAATCACTTTATTTATATTTTACAGTGAATTTTGTAATTTGACTAGT